TAAGCGAAGGCAATTGAAGACAAGTTTAAAGAATTAAGTTTTAGTTTTCAAATTAAGCTCAAAGAAGGCACATAGCGCTGCTCTAAAACAACTCGCTTTATTTTAGAAGCACATAGTGCTGGTACAAAAGAACACGTTAAGTTTCGTAAAACGTTATGTTATATAATTAAACAAATGAGTGCAAAACTAAAAAAAAAAATCCAATTTTGAACATTTAATTAAAAATATCTTAGCGGGGATTTTTTCAGCCAACCCACTCGCGAAATATTTACTAACCCGTTAAATTCCATATCAAATAGATTTCATCAATTAAACAGATGGGTGAAGGTCGCACAGTGGTTCGGATAGCAGATCTAGCTGGACGAAAATCAAAATTTTTTTGTTTTTAAAATACTTAACACGTTGGCTGCCAAGGCCTTTTTAGAATTTTGATCGTTCAGTAGCAGTGCCATTTAACAATTTTGGTCACCTGAGGCCAACAACTTATTTTGTTCTTGCTTAGTGCCTAAAAATAAGTTTTGACTACTCGCGACTTTATTTTGGTCCCTAATTTTGCAGTTATAACGGTTTTTTTGTGTCGCACATGTACCATTAAAATACCATTACAAATACACAGCGACCATGGGAAATACACCAAAATGTTCACCACAGGCCAGAGAATCCAAATTCCATGTAAAATTCCATATTAAAATGTACGAAAATGTGCGACGTGGCTCAGGGTAACATTTAGGTGTCGCACGAAAATGTGCGACGTGGCCTCAGGGTAACATTTAGGTGTCGCACGAAAATGTGCGACGTGGCCTCAGGGTAACATTTAGGTGCCGCACGAAAATGTGCGACGTGGCCTCAGGGTAACATCTGGGTGTCGCACGAAAACGTGCGACGTGGCAGCCAACGTGTTAATAGTACTTGGAATACATTCCTGACAATACATTCAAATAGAAATTGCATTTATTAAAGCATTAACATATGAAAACAAACAAAAAAAGGTAAGTCAACGCCGCCTATTTGAGAACTCTATTTTAAAAGCTGAAATTTAACTTAAAAGATTGCTAATTGCACTCACAAATATTCGCATAATTGCAAATTGACTTTATAAACAAAAAATTACACTTATTCCGCTATAGATTCAGAGGTCATAACGGAATTTATGTCCACATTGGTATAAGCAAATTTATTCTGAAAAATCGTCGTTCTGATTCATTAAAAAAATAAATTAAAGAGTAGGAAAAGTAAAGGCCGCCGAAGGCCGTTATAAAACCACTTGCATATTATTCTTTACACCTTCGCAAATGCAGAGGGTAAGTTCGATAACCAAGTCTAACCAATTGGCTTAGATATTTACATTTTAGTGACGGTATGTCAAATCTCAAAATTCAAAAGTAATTATTAACAGGAATGTATCTGAATATAAATATAAGATCAGTGGCGGATCCTCGGGGGAGGGGGGGAGGGGTTGTGTGTTAAAACAGAAAAATACTTGGAGTTAGAAAACCTTTGGTTATGTAAGAGTTGAAAAAAATAGTACCTCGCGAATTTTCTGCTTTCTGAGATTAAAAAATTGTACAACAGGCATGCAAATCTTTAAGCGCTGTTATAAAATTTTTTCTGAAATTTATTTGTGTTTCTTGCTGTGATCTTAAATTTTAGTCATGGTAAATAAAATCTTATGAAGTGAGTTGTTTGACATTTGGTGTTGCAGAAACTTCTAAAAGACAACAAGGTGTCCGTGATTATGTGATTAGTAAATTGAAAGAAATATCTGATGAAAATGCTCGTTCCGAAGTAAATAAAGTAAATTAAGTAAATGACTTTAGATTCGTAATCAGCAACCCAGAAAATCCCCAGATACCCAGTTACATAGAAATCTACCGATTTTTTTAAATTTTCGTCCGCCATATTGGATCCGCCATTTTGAATTTTTGGTAAATGACTTTAGATATGTAATCAGCGACCCAGAAAACCCCTAGATACCCAGTTTCATAGAAATCTACCGATTTTTTTTTTATTTTCGTCCGCCATATTGGATCCGCCATTTTGAATTTTTGATAAGTGACTTCAGATTCGTAATCAGCGACTCAAAAATCCCCTAGGTAAGAAGTGGTGTAAAGATCCATCAACGAATATTTGTTTAAATAGTTTCGTCCAGCTAGATTTGCGATCCGAACCACTGTGGGTCGTGGCACCATTCGGATCTTCGAATAATGCATGAATACAAATGGACACAGTTACAAACTGAATTAAATAGGAAAAGACATATAAGCTCTGCCTCGTCCACGTCGGGTGGTTGTGTTCACAGGTTGAGCTTTGAAATGTAATAGTTAAAAAATAGCCGGGAAAGGACACAACCACCCTGTGGACCCCCTGTGTAATTTTTCTTGGCTTGCTTTTTTTGTCTCTAAAAATAACTGACGAGTGTCTACCGCTCAAATAATTCGGTGACCTCCGCTTAGGTCCCTGTGGGAGAGAGGAAGCCTTAATGTCGTCTAGTCGCGTGGTGTGATTGACGGTGCCAAACGGCTTTGACAAATCCAACGCTACTACGACTGTTTTCTCACAGGAACGGTTTCGGTTTAGGTACGTAAGTGCTGTTGTTGTACTGTGCACTTTACGGAATCCATGCTGAAGCTTCGCTGGGGTCAGGTGGTTCGTGTACTGTGGGAGAAGCAATGCTTCTAGTGTCTTCGAACCCGGGAAAGGAGGGTTATCGGAAGATAAGATTCTTCTTTGTTGTCCGGTTTCCCCGGTTTAGGCTGTAGGACCAATCTCCCCATTTTCCCGATGTCTAGAATGATAAAGAGTTGCCATAGACAGGTTGAGGACCTTGGTAAGNCTCTTCTTTGTTGTCCGGTTTCCCCGGTTTAGGCTGTAGGACCAATCTCCCCATTTTCCAGATGTCTAGAATGATAAAGAGTTGCCATAGACAGGTTGAGGACCTTGGTAAGGTAATTTACTCCCGCAGAACTCATTTTTTTCGGCATCAGTATGTATATTCAGCTAGCTGCATGGCTTTGGAGGCTTTCGCCTTCCCGATGGCTACCTGCACTCCAGTGCTGGTTAAAACAAGAGGCGCAACTTGTGCAGCCTTTTGGTCACTCGACGTTTGGCTTTGTCCGCTGGAGTATGCAGCGTGAGTTGTCGGCAAAAGTAGCTCGCGTATCNAAGGTAATTTACTCCCGCAGAACTCATTTTTTTCGGCATCAGTATGTATATTCAGCTAGCTTGCATGGCTTTGGAGGCTTTCGCCTTCCCGATGGCTACCTGCACTCCAGTGCTGGTTAAAACAAGAGGCGCAACTTGTGCCTTTTGGTCACTCGACGTTTGGCTTAGTCCGCTGGAGTATGCAGCGTGAGTTGTCGGCAAAAGTAGCTCGCGTATCGCTGCGGATCAGACGAGCCGCGGTTGCTAAAGAGATGTCGACTCTGTCGTCGCGCTTTGTTAGATAGTGACCTCAAGCGTGCTGCAGAAGCAGTGACAACCCTACGGAAGCCGTTCCAATCAGCTTTGGAAAAGTTGATGTAGCGTCGGCAGCTTTATTAATGGAGATGACTATGGGCAGATGGTCTGATGCTAAAGTCAGCATAGGTCGCCACGTTATGCCGTTTATGGGACCAGCGCTTACTATTATTATGTCAGGCGAGCAACAGCAGCTGCCCATAATCCTGGTGGGTGCGTCGTCGATCATTGTGCAGAATGTCGAATTGTCTATATGCTCAGCCAAGTGTGTTCCCCTACTATCATTCGACAGGCCTGAATTCCAAAGTCACCGACTACCATACAGTTTGCACCTCTGAGGAGCGCACCTATTTCAGGGTGATATCCTGCCGGGCAGCTAGTGACAGGGGGTATATAAACATGAAACATTTCGAGCTCGATATCGCCTGGCCGGAAAGCAATACCCTGACATTCTAGGATGGTATCCCTGTGTCGAATTGCTGTGCGACTTGGCTTTTGGGACAGCAGCTTTTAATATTCCACTCCAGCCAATAAAATACGGTTATCTCTTCGACTTACTCTGTAGTCCATTAAAGTTAAACTGTAGAATCTTCGTGTTCCTAGGGAGACTTATTGGGATGTGACGCTGTAGTCCGTTACAGTTACACTGTAGAATCTTCCGTGTTCCTAGGGAGACTTATTGGGATGTGAGGTGTATGGGAAGTGGCCTTCCTGCTATTTGCTGTATGTGCTGTTGTGGAGGGTGTAGCTCTAAGGTGGTAGTGGGTGGCGTCGCAGTGGGAACTAAGCCCGATCAGCACAACACCGGCCCTCATAGTTTCTCATCCAATCTCGCGTGGTCCGCAGTCCTGAACATGCCCTAAAGCGTCAACATCCAAGGTAGGTGTTACACTTAACTGATGTCACGTTACGGAAAATCCTGGTCTGACACACCGAGGACATTGTTGGAGGAACCACGAGTTGTTCGCGGAGACGTGGGGGTGGTCGTGCGGATGTGTCTGTGGTGTGGTCTATTGTGTTGTGTTGAGTGCGGTCGTGTGTGTGTTAAGCTACTCAGGCGTACTCGGCACAGTGTGTAGACCACTGGCTTTGGAAGCTGGGGCCCGTTGGATCGAACCCCAGGGAAGAGGAATGTTGAGGAGATGTGGTGATCTCGGAAATAGCAGCTATAACTTCTACCATTTATAAATTGTTGTTGTTATTTCAAAATAATTTGCCATTAAAAACGGACTCAAGCTCAATAAAAAGTGCGAATAGCAGCGGAATAGCTCCCTTGATTGTGGATGGGTTGGCATATGGAAGCAACAACAGTTTATAAGGCGAACTTAGCGCAGTGTGTACACCACTGGCTTTGGAAGCTGGGGTCGTTGTATCGAATCCCAGTGAAGAAGTCTGATGAGGAAATAGCCATAATTTCTACCATTTATAAATTATTGTTGTTTTTGCACAATAATTTTTCATTAAAAACTGCCTCAATCTGAGTAAAATTTTTTTAATATTTTTAATTTGTATGCAAAAATTTACTTTGATTACAATTTACATACCCGAGTTATGCTTGCACGATGGCCAGTCAATGAAAACTTTTCTGGTGGACGTGGAATCCATTCTCCAGGGCTACGTTTTGCTTTTGTAGGAGCTCCTTCTATAGCCTCTTTTTCAGCTTCTGATAACTTGGCCTCTAGGTCCATTACTTTTTTTTGCAAGCGAATAACCGAAGTCCATTTTTTTTCCAAAAGTCCACTGAATTTTTTCTCGCTTTCTGTAGACACGTCAGCTTCTTTACGGAATGCGTCCAAGGACTCAGTGTAGCCATTGCTACCTAAGTAATCGGCAATCGCTTGGTTCCTGAAGTTAAATATACTCATAACCTTCGAAAAGTAAATTATGAAAGTTTAAATCTTACAGTTCCTCGCGCTGCCTCTGCGACAAAACCATTTTCATGTTCTTTGTCGGGACAGACGTCGCTATTACTTTTGATATACAATGAGCGTTGATAGCCTTTAAGTTAAGTACTGCTGAAAATAAAAGAATGAAATGCTATTTAGTTTCTAATAGTTACGTATAATATTAATTAAATTAAATAAACAGTAAAATAATGTGTGAAACCTTTGCAAAATGGGCATAGCAACTGAAGCGGACAGGTAAAAAATTTTTATGTTTCTGGTTTTAGTAATATTTGATCGATATCCTAAATATGAATATTAGCACGACACATGTTTATGTAACATAATAAAATAATATTCGGATTACACATAACTCCAGACAGCCAATAGATCAAATTGCTGAAGTTGTGGCGCGTGTAGAAGAAGCCTTGAGAACAACAAACGGCAAAATAAGCCCCATTGTCGATTAAATCGAGATAACGAAAATGTTACAACGGCATTAATTATAGCTTTTTTGTTGTGGAAAGAAAAAAATTTAGCTTTCGTTAAAAAAAAAAATGGTGTGTAGTGCTAACTTGACACTATACAACTACTGGATAGAATTGAAGTATCCAATATGTTATTAATAGTAGCCTACTATGCCATTAATTGTAGCTTTTGATTTTAAAATTTTTTGCTTTCGGTTTTATCGAAATAAAATTATAGTTTAAAAAACTAAAACCTCCCTATTATAACTGCCATTCGTACTGTCATCAGGTATGTAACTTTAGAATAGAAATCGCTGCGTCTTTTAGGCGCATCAATATTACATCGTTACATCCCGAGCTAATAAAAGGAAGGTAAAAAATCGAGTTGACGGTTGAGCAACCCATGTGCGAGATGCGGTAACCAATCCGAGTGGAGCCCTGGGTCACGGCAGAAAGATGTTGCTGTTGTTGTAGCGGTTACCAAGCCCCGTCGGTTCATCCGTCAACGTTGTCGTCTGTTTCAGCTAAGGGGAGGCCCAGGAAGAGTGCGACTTCCACAGGGTCTGTCCATAAGGACAGGGGTGTCAGCTGGGTGGGGTTCTCAGGGCATGTGAAGAGGTGCCGAGAGTCATGTGGCTACTCTCCACATACCGGGCATTGGTTGGGCACATCCTCATTAATTCTGCCCAGGTATGAGTTAAGCCTGCTGCAATAGCCAGAGCGAAGTTGGGCTATAGTGGTGCGGGCCTCCCGAGGCAGACAAAGTTCTGTCCCGTCCACGTCAGGTGGTTGAGTGCCTAGAACAGCATTCACAGGGTGGAAGTCTACATAACTTGAGACCGATTCCCTGTGAATGCCGCTCAGGGCCTGTCGATAAGCTGACGGGTCCAGAGGTTGTTTAATGAACCTCTGGACTTCGTACGTCAGTTCGTAGAGATGCCTCTTGACGTGCCTTGGCGAGGGTTCTTCCCACAAGAAACTGCTTGCAGAGCATTGTGTTATGCTCTTTGACTAGGAGCATCTGGGCCTCGTCATGTAGGTGGTGTTGGGGCGTCATCAGGAGGCATCCGGTCGCTGTCCGTAGTGCCGTATTCTGGCATGTCTGTGGCTTTATCCACTGCGTCCTGCTAGTCCCAGGCGACCACACGGGCGCTGCATAGTTAAGAACCGCCCGGCCAATTGCCTTGTATGTTGCCAACAACGTTTCTTTATCTTTGCCCCAAATGCTGCCGGCCAGCGACTTCAGGACATTGTTGCGGCTCTGTACTTTATTGGCAATTGCGGTTGTATGCGCCGAGAAGGAGAGCAGACTGTCGAAGGTAACTCCGAGGATTTTGGGGTTATTCAGCGTGAAGAATCGAGAAAGTTCGGCGAGATAACCGTTTACTTTCGAGCACAAGTCATCAATTTCATTCCCAGACGCCACAATCGAGCAATCGTCAGCATAAGAGACAATATTGACACCCTCTGGTGGTTGAGGAAGCTTAGAGATGTAATAATTAAACAGTAGTGGACAGAAGAGGGCACAGGACACCACCCTGTGGTAGCCCCTGTTTAATTTTACGTGGCTTACTGGTTTTGTCTCTGAAAATTACTGACGAATGTCGGCCACTCAGGTAATTTGCCGACCACCGTTTCGAGTCCCTGTGGGAGGGAGCAGACATCTATGTCTTCTACCAGCGTTGAATGACTGACAGTGTCGAACGCCTTGGACAGGTCCAACGCTACTAGAATAGTTCTCTCACAGGGGCGGTTTCGGTTAAGGCCAGGAGTTATCTGAGTGTTTGTGGCGTTAAGTGCTGTTGTTGTACTATGCAAGGCCTCTAGTGTCTCTGCTACCGTGGAAAGGAGGGTTATCGGGCGATAAGACTCTCCTTTGTTGGCTGGTTTCCCCGGTTTGAGCAGTGGGACCACTCTCCCCATCTTCCATATGTCTACCTACTCCCGCAGGACCCAAATTTTTCAGCATCAACATGCATATTCCGTCGGGTCCAATGGCTGTGGAGGCTTTCGCCTTCCCGGTGGCTACCCTTACCTCACCGCTTTATCCACCGGATGATGCAGAATAAACTGTCGGCTAAAATAGCTTGCGCATCTCTCCGGGTCCGACGAAGCGTGGACACCAGTATATTTCGACTCTGTCGTCACGCTTCGTTGGGTTGGACAACGACCTCACGGTTGACCAAAGCTTACTCACACCAGAGGCGAAGTTGCAGGTCTTCAAATGGTCTTCCCATTTATTCCGCTTATGTACGTTCAAAAGTTGCCGAATCTCCGAATTGAGATCCCTGGTACGGGGATTTCCGGGATCGGCCTGACGAAGGCTGTCACGCTCATCGGCTAGAACAGCCGCTTCAGCAGGAAAGTTCGGACGTGGATTCTTAATACATACTGCTGGGATGAAGTGAGCTGCAGGAGCAGTAACAACCCTGCGGAATTTACGTTCACCTATATGGACGTCGGTTGGTATGGGTAGTGCCGTGAAGGCGCTTTCANGGTGGATTCTTAATACATACTGCTGGGATGAAGTGAGCTGCAGCAGCAGTAACAACCCTGCGGAATTTACGTTCACCTATATGGACGTCGGTTGGTATGGGTAGTGCCGTGAAGGCGCTTTCAGTAACATCCGCGAAGCCTTTCCAGTCAGCTTTGGAAAAGTTGACATAGGTACGGTGATCCGCGGAAGCAAAGTCGGCAGGTTTATCAATCGAGATGAGACATGGACACTTTTTTGCCCGCGCAGTAGCTCAACTGAAAATCTGCTCCGTTTTGTTGCATCAACAAATTTAATCTTCAAATAGAAAGAAGGTGAGGTTTTTAATAGCAAACTAAAAGTTATATTTAACCTTTTTATCGACACGATTGTTACATTGGTGAGCTACAGCACCTTGCAAATACACTTGAATTCGTAAATAGGCCCTCACAATCGCCCGATCGAAAAATATTGCTCTGTCTAAAGTTCTGTAATTGCGTCGTTTTCCACCGATGTAACAATTGTTCCGGTAAAGAAAGAATGAAATAACTTTTTATTAATTTTAACCAAGGGATTTTAACTTTAATGATAATTGCTCGCTGGATTAAGGCGCCTTTACACGGGTCGATTTTCTAGTAGATTTTTGTCGTTCAACCAAAATTGACCCGTGTAAATGACATCTCAACCGTAAAATGTAAGTGCTTTGGCTAGTCGATTTTCCACTCTACAGAAATCGACCCTTGTAAAGGCCGCTTTGGCCCCTTATTTAGTCCCAGAATACAATGATACGAGGAGAAATTAATTGTTTTTTATAAAGATAAGAAATGCACATCTACAACGAAAACTTGATTTTTACTCCCATTTTTGGAGTCCGAACCCAGCAAAGAGCGCTGGGTGAAGGTCAGCTAGTGATCAGTGTTCATATTGTTTAAAAATAGCGCAATTTTTGAAAAAAAATCGCCAAAAATCGCCAATTTTTTTTTTTAATAAAATTCATAAAATCGATTTAACTAATCTTTTATTTTAAAAAGGGGGGGTGTGTGCCTGGGGAAAACCGGTCTCCAAACGTTTCTCGGCTGGAGCTGCGACGTCAGCTCCGCCTAGGGAATTTAGACCCCAAAATAGGCACACCTCAACCCAAGGGCGGAGTGCGGCACCTGCTTCAAGGTTAAACCGGCAGGATGCTGCTGATATACCCAGCAGCTCAAAAAAGGTTGCAACTACGGGTGGGGCCGGCTAGAAATATCCGCCTCTCGAAGCAGGCGTACTACGACAGAACAGCTGACGGAGGACGAACTTAAGTCGTTGGACTGGGCAAGCGGAAATGTAGCCAGCTTGGGTAAACCGGCAGGCACTGCTCCAAAGAGGCAACGATCTGCTGAACAGGCAGGGGGGTCGCCAAACGACAGAGAACAGGTGGCCATAAATACCGCTCCTTCAGGGATGTTGTTAAGGGAGACGGTGAGGTACTGGCCATCATTGACAGAGGGGAGGGGAGGGGAGTAGGAAGGGACTATCCCGAAGGAGAAATGGAGGCAGGTTGAGGAGGCTATTGCCGAAATCTACCTCCAGGTCTTAGAGAAAAACCCTGGACCCCCTCCTCTCTGCCATGATTCTGGTTGGTATCAAGGTAGGACAAAGCTCATCGCTTGCGAGGACCATAGGTCAGCCCAGCTCTACAGGTTGGCCGTCAGCAAGGTAGGTGAGGTTTGGCCGGGAGCCAAACTCGAGGCAGTCAGCAAGGAAGAGATTCCTAGCAGACCTAGGACTCGGGTTTGGATCCCGGCTAGACCGGCCGAGCCCCAAAAAATAGAGCGGATCTTTAGATCCTGCAATAAGGACCTGCCGACATACAATTGGAAGGTGGGGAAGATCGAAGAGCCAACAGAGAACAGAAGGCAGGTGTGCTGATCCTCAACGCCGAATCGCTTGCCCCATTGGCACAGAAGGACTGGATAGTCAGATTCGGGTTTGTTGACGCAACCGTTCGAATCTACCGCAGCGACGAGCCGGGCTTGGACCTTAATGAGGAGAGCGACAAGTTCGGCATGCGCAGCGGTGGTGAAGAAGGGTTGCCCAGCAGCCAATGCTCATCCGACTCGGAGAGGCTAACCGGTTTGGGGCCGCTGTTTTATGAAGAGGATCTTCTCGCCGATGACACCGAGGGTGAGGAGATCGAGTAGGCGGACAT